TGCCTATATAAATCTTTGTTTGTGAAATTTCTCATTTATATATTTCTATGAACGAGAAATTTCACAAACAAAAGTGGAAGTTTTCGATAATCTCAATCTCTTCAAAATGTTTGATAATTTCAAATACAGAACTTTCGAATGTTTGTAAGGAGTCTGAAATTTTTTGATAAACTAAGGAAACGTGCAAGTTTGATAAATTAAAGAATTCGAACATTTTCTAAAATATAAAAAATTCGAAGATTCTTTGAAACTTAAAAGAGTGATGAATTTCTTAATATTAAAAAAAAATAAAATAATTGATTTAAATTTTCAAAAAGTTATTATATAAGTATTTTGGATTCTTCCAAAATTTAAAACAGTAACTACTTTTTACACTCTAACAGTTTTAATAAATTACAAATATATGAGTATACGTACGACTCTGATGCGTTAATCCGAATATGAATAATCAGATCCAACTCTGCATAGCTGAGTACATTCATTCACGAAAGGTGACCTCACGCGACAAGCTAACTTCAGCTAATATAATCTGACAATGACTGACCTAATGCGCAAGATGTTGAGTAGTAGTCTGATGGGCCAACCTAACGTAATCTAGCCGAACCTGAAGAAAATGAGCATTATAAACATCCAAAGTTTAAAATCTTTTTTATATTTTAGATATCTGATCACTTTCGAAATGCAGAGTTGCCAACTACTGAAAATATTGAAAATCATAAATTTTCCGAAAATATTAAAAATTTGGAAACGTTCGGAGTTCTAAACTATTTAAAATATTTCGAATAAAAATATGCAGCGTCAACAACAAAATAAAACAAATGTTGATACAACAGGGTCTATTTTGTTTTTCACGAATATTATTGTATATACTGCCCCATTATACACATATCATTTATGTTTAATGACAACTGTACACTTTAAAATTCAGAACTGATCAACAATAATCTTAGGAAATGCACATACTTAAGAAGGCGGACATTGCTACTTCAGAGGTTAGAAATGAAACTATATGACCTCTACATTTTACATCAATGTCTTGAAGAGAAATGCTAGGGTGCCTCCCTGGACTTCCATGACCGGATTGTAGTCCTGCCCATACGCCATGATTTTATTATTAAGGAGTATGCTTAAGCAAGGTTATTTCAAACCCTTTCTCTTCTGTTTCCAGTGGGAAGTTCTGGAGACAGCGTAGGAGGCAGTTGACCCGAGAGTTGGATGAAGTACCTCATCAGCAACAGGCCACATGGGTCGCATCCTACAGGGGTAAGACTCCCATCCAACGAAACATTGCACATTGCAAGATATAAACAGCTATCCTTTCAGAAGTTATATCTGGCTCGTGGGAAGCCATTTAACGACTCTCTATATACCATAATGGCTATATAGAACGGGTAATTGATGAGAGAACTCAAGGGATTTGGAAGGCCATATCACCACATTCTAATGAATGAAATAAAAAAAAAAAAAGCAAGACGCATTGTGTAATAAATATGATATCTATAACATTTCGAACAACGGGGCATTAAGGAGCGAGTTCCCAGTTAGAAATTACCATAATAAACTCAACAAGCAAAATAACTCGAAGCTGACATTAAGGCAAGTTACTGTAAATCTTAATTCAATTTTTAATTTCATAGATCAAGACAAGAATTATTTCAGGATAATATTTCATTCCTGTAAGGTGGTAATAATTATGTGTCTAATTCGAGAATGGCTGTAAACTGATCATGGATTTTAAATATGGCGACAATATGGGCTGTGGAGCGGTAAATGGTATGAAAATGTCGGAGTTACGTAACTTTTCACATATAAAAGTAATAATGAATTCATACTACATGAAGAAATATAAGTTTAATTTTGATAATTTACCTGACTTTCAAGAAACGGAAAGAGAAACAGCATAAGTTCATTCTGATCAGAAGTTCTCACTGTGTATCTCCCCCCCCGGCGCTACAGCCCCTGTTTGGGCCTTTGAAACTCACCGTTTCACTTCGGTTTACTATATATTAGACATTCGCTAGGACTAATTGGGCGGGTGATCAGCCCTTCGCAACGCCTCTACCTGTACACAAACACAGAAAAACGCGCACACCCACACAAACACTGAACATCCATTCCCTGAGTGGGATTCGAACCCACGATCTCGGCTTCCGAGCGAGCGAAGACAGTGCATGCTTTGACCGCTCGGATACCGTGACCGGACACTGTGTATCTTATTATTATTATTATTGTTGTTGGAGGGGTTGGTTTCCCCTTGCACCGCGACCAGTGGTCTATTGTACGTCCCCTCTGTGATATTCTACCAGTCTCTATACCCTACGGATATTGGTGCATGCCATCAGTCCCGACTCAGCCAGCGAGTTCAGCCTCTACTGGCTCAGCGGTATCTCTCGATGCTTCCCCAATCTATCAGAGGCGTTAGAGACTACTGTTGGGCTGGAAATGTCCGATCAATCTGGCTCAGTAGTCCCTTTGCGACATGAGGTTCTTTTACGTGCCGTAAAGCTACGAAACGGGACCCACAGCTTAAAGTCCCTCCCGGAGGACTTGTTCCCTGAATTTTTCCGCCCTTAAAAATTCCACGACCTCCGCCGGGTTTGAACCCGCGTACCTTGAGTCATGAGGTGGGAACGTTACCCCTAGACTACGGAGGCCGCTACTGTGTATCTTACAATGTGTGCTGAATCAACGTGTCATTGTGGGAGGTTTAGTTTGGTAAGTTGTTACGTTCAGCAATTCCAAGTACCGAACACTTTTTTTTATTATTATTAGTGAGGTGAGACTGAGTCCACTTGGTACTGCGGCCACTATTAGCCTATTGTACCAACGCGATGATAGATGATGATGATTGTGGAGCAATTGGTGGAATGAAGATTGACAGGGGAAACCGAAATACTCGGAGAAGTGCCATTTTTATCCACAACAAATCCCCACTTGACCTAACCCGGGCTCGAACCAGGGCCTCTGCGGTGGGAAGTCAGCGACTAACAACCTGAGTACCGAACATAATTTTCAGTAACTGGAAAAACAGCATTTTGTGACACATTATGTAAAAGCAGATAATTAGGTGGAGACAGTGTGTGGGATGGATGGGAGAAATGTACCTAGAATGTCACATTGTACAAAATATAGACACAAAATCTGATAAATATTTGTGCTCACCATCATCCTGCAGCTGTCTGAAGAAATTTCCATTCTCTTCCATCTATATCTTGCTGGCCTACACATCACTATAAAGTCTGCAGATAAAGCCTGTTTTCTTTAAAAAATAATGCAGATGCATATTAAAGGATCTTTATTTTTCAACACATCACACTTATCACAATCCCTGTCAGTTTATATGGTGATTGACTGCAGATATATCAGTGTTTGGGTTGTAATCCGACAGTGGAGTCACAGAATACTCACATAATGCACGTGAAACTTCAGAACTCTAGTTAAAATCGCTGTTTTACTTGCGAACTTGTTAAACAACCCCTTCCTCTCCAGACAAACTCTGCCTTCGTGACACCATATTGAAACGCCTCGCGCCAATCTCCCGCCATGCGCAGTATCCTGTATCCTGCGGTAGGCGGCTGTTTTAAATACGTTCCCTGCACCGAGATTACAGTAGTAAACGGGGTAGGTAGATCTTAACGTAGCGTATTTATATTTTATGGGATGTCGTTTTAATATTAAAAATAACTAATTATATAAAATGCACAGTTCACATACTCAGTTACTATGCTTTCGACAAAAAAAAAATGTCGCACGAAGTGTGGACCAGACGTTCAGACGTGGTGTAAATCTGTACAAGAGAATTTTATGTAGCTTTTTAACAACATGGGGATGTCAGTAAAAACGTAACTTTTTTTGGACTGGTTGCACAACGTTAAAACGACCTTATATGACGATGTATGAGACATATTTTCGTATTTGTGTTGGTATATATTTTTTTTCTAGAGAGCCTAGGAATCCATATATCTTTTAAACTAACTGTATTATTTTATAGAGAACCAGCAAAAAGATCACTCCACTGTCATATTTCAGAAATGTCTGTGAAGATTCCAAAGTTAATCTTGAGAACAGTGGAAGCAGAAGCAACATTCGAAGGTCATAAATACGTACATATATTTAGTGTTTATTACAGTGACATGGATACCAGTAAGTTGGCCATAAGCAGTGCTTGAGACAGTAAAGAAGGGTAGTAGGGTGGTTTTAAAAAGTGAGTAGGAATTCTTTTTAAAGAACTTGGTTCCCTAGACATAGGTAAACTGTAAAAGAAAGTTTACATCATTTGACGTTTTCCAAATTATAATATTGCATAATTTTACTAATGTAAAAATTACTATTTTATTTTCTGTGTAAAAGGCTAGGTGGTACTTACTTACTAACAGAGGACCCCAGAAACCTTATAATGTACTGCCAGTTTGCCCGCCACATTAGCGTATGCTTAGCAGGTTTGTATTTTACCTCCAACAGCAAGACCACAACTATCAGTAGGCATGATGTAAGAATAATATCAGATTGTGCAAAAGCTTCTGTATGAAAGACTCATCTAAGCATTTTTGAGAATTCGTCCATCCGGCATTCATCGTGCACATCCAAAATTGTGGAACTGTTGTGAGAATCTGACAAATGGGATAGCAACAGGCACAGAACCACCCTGCATCACCCTCTTATTTGGCTGAGTTTTTATCACAGAGTTAACCCCAAAACAAGGATCCTTTTGATAAAATTTGGGATACAATCAAACAATATTAGCTGCCAGATATTTCACATTTTATTGTTCTTACCTTCTATCCATAGAAACCTTGCAAGAAAAGTCTCAGAAGTTACCAATAAAATTATTTATGTCACCCATTAATATATAATTATCAGCTTAATTATAACATTATCTAATTATAGAGCAGAATTTTTGTGTTTGTTTATACTGAAAACTCTTTTGATAGGGCGTTTTTAATAATAAGATAAACACCACTTTAAGGGGGGAGGGGTTTATGACAAATACAATGTCAAATCATTTTAAATACATTTCTGAAATTATGTTGACAGACTATTCTGAGAATCATTGTTTTCAATTACCAGTGAACTTCTCATATCAGATATAACAACCTTCATAGTTACCTTTTCTGGATATGGAAGTGTTAGGTTATACTTAAAGTGAGTTAAATTGTCACAGATTTTCCAAACAGGGTGCACAAGATTGCTGACACTTATTCCAGTACCCATTATCTGTCATTACATACAGCCAGGTGATGATTAAGTTACCAGCTATTCAAAAGCACCATGTAGCAGCTGTGTCATTTGTTCACAGTGTTCCGATCACTGAACGGGATGGAGACACATTCCTCGCCAGTGCTGTCACCCAGCTCATCCTTCCCACTACACCCCACACCCTGCATGGGACTGTTCCTGCCTAGTGGTTCTCTGGCTGCTGCTGCCGCTGCATCTACCACAGCCTCCACCACATCTCCACCACCATATGAAGAAGCACTTAAACATAAAGTAATCCTCAGCAGTTTTCCAAGTGCCACGACTGTCATTCTTCCCACAGCTCCGCCCATACAGGGCCCACCAAACAACGTGCCAGGAGGTCCCTACATGTGCAGTAACCCGAGTGGTCCAAACTGAACAGTTTGAGGCCATGGTAATAAAGACAGAATTCAAGTTCAGGGTTGTGCCATTAGTGGAAACGACTGGCAGAGATGCACAGTTAATTGTTAAGACAATAACAAGAACTGCTTGAACAGTAACTCTGAAGGACAAAGAACCTCACAAGAATGGAAGTTATAGAATTCATTGTTTTATTCATAATGGCTAGTGAAGTATCATGGCCTGCTTAGCGACTACAAAATTCAATCATATATGTAAGGATTGTGAGGGATTTGAAGCCATTTAATATATATCTTATTCAGGAAATAAGATGCCAGCAATTTTCTGAATATGATTCTTAAACAGTTTAAGAACGCCAGAACACTAAAAACTATTTCTCCCTTATGGAGAATCAAGAAAGGAAATGTCTGAGCACAAAGAAGTTTAGACATTTTATGCCTTCAAGCTACCCAAGGCCATGCACATACATCATACACAAGTTTCGGAAAATTGGTGTCACCCATCCTTGGATGTCTTATTGCATCATTCATTTGGACATCGAAGGGCCATACAAACCATGGGCAATTTGTATTACAAAGTTGTCCTACAAGGAAGCAATTTAATAGCTGCATAATTCAGTTAAAATAAAAAAAAAATATGTCCAGGTAATCTGGGAGACCACACAGAGCCAGAGTTCCCAGCTCCTAGATTTGAGCCAGAAATGCCTTGTATTATGGAAGACTTGAAACATCTTCAAAACATCTCATTATCAGATGTTTATTAAAAACGGTCTATAAATCTTCTATACAGGTGCATAGTGACTGATAATATAAAGGAAAAATAGAGAACATTTTGTAAAATAATGATCTCTATGTGAGTTGAATGTAAGCAAAACTGAACACCACTGTCAGACTTTTACTGGAAAAAATTAAGTTCATACATAATTATCAGCAAGCAACATGACTCGTTAAATTAAATCATGTTTTATGGTTCTTGGTATTTAGTGTTACGTGTTAACCTTCTGATTCTTTGTGGACATACATAAAATCTTTGGACTAAACAGATATGCATATGGATAGGTAAACATAAAACTTCCACATAATCTGATGAATGTAAGATCTCATATTCCTATTATAGCAAATAGGAATTAGTAATTAACACCAACTCTAGCTAAAGTAAAGAAAGCACAATGATTTTCTTTATATCATGTTCATTTGCATACCAAATTATCAACCAAGGTTTTCAAATGTTTTATATGGAGGCAGTTTTTTCAAATCTTCCTAAGATTTACTACCAACTCTGGTATACCCTAAGTAGTAGAAAGAACTTGGCTGTGAGAGACAGCTTATGAGCACAGTCAACAACAGGACTGATGGAATCTCTTGGCAGTCGATCAGGTCAAATAATATCTCAAACTTTATGTTAGGCACAGCTGGAACAGTTAAGAATGTTTACATGCAGTGAGCAATTAGCAAGACTGTAGTTAAAAATTATTACTTTTCATAGTTCTTCATCTCCTCCTTGCTTCCCATCAAGACATAATGTTAATTCAAGACCACCACAATTTATCATCATCATCATTATAGCCATCATCCTATAATGCACAATGCAACAGTAAAAGTGTACACTTCAACTGAAATTACAGCACTATACTGAATAGTGTTCTTATCATGGTACTGTCAAGTATCTATTGATAGCTAAAATGATAAAATACAAATTGTTTATATTTTCCAATAAAAATATAAAAGAATCAGTATAACACCAACAGGTACGTGTAACTTCATGTCCAGTATCAAACACTAATCATTCACCAAAGTTTCGTATTATGCTGTATGGCACAACCTGGAATTTCGGGGGGGGGGGGGGGGGAAAAAAAAATAAATAAAAAAAAAAAAAAAAAAATTTTTCAAAGAGAAAAAAACTGAATTAAAAAAAATGAGAAGTAATTTTCTAACAGTTTGGAAGGCAACAGTGAATCCTTCTGAAACATGTCAAGAGCTTTCAGCAGTTTGCATGCATATAGTTATTCTTACAAATTAAATTATTAATATTATTTAAGAGGTAACCTTTCATGCAGGATATGCATTTCTGTAATCTGTGGTCCTTTTAACACCAACATAAATAGACTGCAGCTACTGTGAGCAGTGGACCATACTGTAAAATATATGGAAACTTAACAACGATCAGCTAGCTGGAAAAACTCAATGGCACTTTCCGGTGCCAAAAGAATGTAAATGCCCAAATAGGCTAGCTCAACAAATCTGGCAGTGGTGAGATGCTGATACACTGGAGTGATATTTTCAGTCCACAAGTGAATTTTTATCACTGAGTAAGCAAAAGAATTGTGTGTGTTATTGTTGCAAAGTGTTTCAGTACCATATTAAATGTTCAGCAGGCTGCACACTGATTAGTAACAACTGTTCTCTTTCCTAGAAGTTTTTGTTATATTGGTGCATAGACGGACAGCCATACATATCTACTCATATATGTAAATATGGTACCAAATGATTGAACAAACAAAGACTGAGTAATGGTAATTTCAAAGGTGTTGTCCTTATGTAATATGTTTATCTTGATATTTTCTCTCTTCAGGAGCATAAAAACACTACTTTAAGCATGTCTTCATTATGTGCATCAGATTTGTAATATAATCAGATTTTAATCTCTTGTCAAGTTACATTCTGTGTAAGTAATGTATAATTCCAGAGTGAATGAAATATGTACCGAAGTTTGAATATCTGCAGTTAAAATAACTTTTATACAATTCATGATCCAGAGATACAGGAAGTTTGGTTTATAATCGTTCACAGTAGATTCTAGCAGAGCTATATGAAGCTGCAGTGCATAGAGTATCTTGGCATTTAATGCAAGATAATTACATATTTCATTAAAAAAATAATCACATTTCATATACATTTTTGTGGGCATTTGTTTATTCAAAGTTCATAATTTTGGATGACTGTCATAAAGATATTACTTGAGATGAAGGAAACTGAGAGGACTACAGTACAGAATTGTCAGTTAAAAACTTCAAACTTATTAAATCGATATGAATTTTAGTGCTCTACAAACATACCACTTATATGTGATTAAAAAAGACTGAAATATCACAATAAAATCAGTGCCAACTTATGTCCATCCTGTCAGAATACAGGAATAACTCAGACTGTTTCCATTCTTGAACTGTGTGTTCTGCAAAACAAAACATAAAATCTGCACTGTCTCATTTCATGTGAGTATGAAATACTTTAAGAAGTGGTATAAGCCAAAGGGATGTATATTCCTTTTCTCACAACCCTCAAACTGGGAGCCAGTGCGTGTAACAAATTATGAATTACAGGAGAATCCTGACTGATTAATACAGAAGAACGTATGTAATCTTGATATAGGACAACTATACCAAGCCTCAAGTATTTGTATCAGTTTTATCAGAGAATTCAAAACTTCTGACTGTAAAATGTTCTTCTTGCATATTCCTTTACCCTGTTGTGATGTGACTTCAGTTTTACTATTCATTCTAAAATCAGCTTGAAAATCCTTGTTCACTTTTCAATATAGTCTCCGCCTCTCTGTCACCTGTATACACAACTTTGGAAACATTTTAAGAAACCCTCTTTAAGGCTGTTGTTTATAATGGGCTGTCCCCAGCACGGTTCTTGATGGATAATGGATCTTTCATCTCTGGGAACTTTCTGGTCAGATAAGGAAGACTGGTGTGGGAGAAACTAAACTCATTTTCAGGTAAATTCCATTATAACTTCAAGTGTAAAATTCATAGCATGAATACAGTAAAGACTTGTACTGCATATGTACATTTGATTTTATGTAGAGCAGAGCATAAGTCTTACCAACGTGAAACAAAAATTCAATTTCTTCAATAATTTGTAGTATATAATGCGAAATGTGTTCAAAGCCTGATCAGTACTTTCGTAGAAGAAAAGTGGTCATACTGACACAATGTCCATTCTATGCATTTCTTTTTAATGAAGAATGCATAAAATTCTTATGTATAACAATCAGTCTTTAAATTGTGGTTAGAGGGAAGTCATCTGCCTCCTCACATTGCTGTATCAGTATGTGGCTGTTGCCAGACAGAACTTTCCATCGCCATGAGGTATACAAGCTGACTGCATGTGCATAAGTTCGTGGACAGTGTTGTGTGTGTGTATACATATATCTGCTAATAACATGTTATTTAGATGATTTAATTCATTCTCATTTCTTTTTACCACTCATTCACACATGCCCAGTAAGCCTTATCTTGCCGTTAATGTATCTGAGAGCATGCCATATGCGTGCTACATGCACGCATGGGGGAGAACAGGAATGCATATAGGATTTTGGCAGAGGATAATATTGAAATGGATCTTAGAGAGGATGGGATAGTATGGACTGGATTGATCTGTCTCAGGATAGAACCTGGTGGACGACTCTTGTGAATGTAGTAATGAACTTTTGGGCTCCATAAAAATGCTGGGAAATTTTAAGTAGCTGTGCAACTGGGAGCTTCTCAAGAATGGTTTTCTTTTCATATTCAAAAAATTATATCCGAGAAATTAAAGCAAGTTCTCCAATGATGAAATGAAGAAATCATTGTTAACATTTCAAGTTATTTCTGCTTTATAATGCGAGAATATATTACTGAAGGACACGTCACCATTGAAACAAGTTATAGCATAATTTTTTTACATTTATAATTTAAACATTATCTATTGTATTAATAGAACCTGTCTTACCTTGCGATTTTTAGTATGTCACAATAAAAGGAAATTTGTTAAAAATATGTCAGATTATTTTGCATGAATTAACTCATCGTATACTTTCACTTAGTGAGGAAACAGCATGTAGAGTGAAACCTCCATTTAATATTCCACTGAGGAACAGTGAATTTGAGCACTAAAGTCAGGAAAACTTTAAACCGAGGTACACTAAATGGGGGTCTGCTGTATATCAGGATATTTAAAGTTCATTTTTTGTCCTGTACTTGAGATTTCATGCTTGTAAATTTTTATAGTAATTAAGCCTGCGATTTCCATGGCTTTCATATTCATTTTGTAGCTAAAATTCATAAAGCTCACTGATATAAATGGATGGAATTAGCATCCTAAACTTGTGGGTTTTTATTTGACACAGTGCAACAGGCAAGTTGAAACTCTATAGTATACTCCAACAGTAACAAATGCTAGTACAGGTAAACTGTAAAATGCAAACAGATTAATTTTAAACTTTGTTTGCATGAATTTGGACAAATCAGACAGTAAGGAGCTGGCTTGAAGACCAGGGCTCAGTCCCTAGTCAGAGATTAGGTACTTCTCTTTGCAACCTTATCCGGAGCAGCTTGAGAGCCCACTTGGACTTTCTGTTCAATGGCTCTTTCTCTGGACATGAAATGTCCAGAATGTAAAGCCTCACTGACACTTATACCACCATCTACTGCAGAGACCAAGAATTTGTATGACTTACCTCCACACTTATTCCATAATGTGGTGTTTTGGCACAGCAACCACTTTATTTTTCATGATTGTCTAATTTGTTTATATTTGCTACAAAATATTCTGCTTGAGAAAGAAACATTTTATGAGCTGTGAATTTGAGTCACAAGGAATTTATTCACACTTCTTTGCACTGATTTCTCAATGCCTCCCCCCCCCTCCCCAAACCAATATTTAAGGACAGAGAGGAAAATTTATGTTATTTAAATGTTCATAATTTAAGCATTTACTTTTCATATTATTATTATTATTCTTATCAGCACCACTTTTTTTAGCAACTTTTAGGCTCATTTTATGTTGCAAAGAACTTGTGGCTGAACATCTTACTCCTACTGGTAGAAATACAATGCTGTCTTGGGTCAAGAGAGGATTTGGTCCTGCTAGGTTCATCTGTGCCCTTCACTCCCTGTGAGCTAATCATACAGATGGATCAACAAACCAACAGTTTTATACTTAGATGCTTCAGAAGGGTTATACATATAAGCCTAAAAGTGCACTGTTTCTATAGGTTACTGGCCCAGATTGACTATATTCCTCAATTTTTTTAGGGTTTTTGATACTGAAACTGACAAAGATAACATATTATATCTGCCACTGAATCACTTAAAAATTGTCTTCAAAGCCAGCCTAACACTTCTTCATCAGTTCCTTTTCATGCATAGTATTTAGTACCAGAACTAAAATGGTAGCGTTTCTTGCTACTGTAATATCACCCTCAACATTACTGCTACTCTATCCTAGCCCAGTATTTACATAGGATTTCTAATAAAATTTAAACCATAATCATACTGCTGACTTGCCACTTGAAATAAACATATGCATGCATGTACTGGCCACAAATACAGGAAACATAAAATGTTAACACATACTTTCTCGCAGTACAGCTGAACCACTGATTTGGTGTGTGTGTGTGTGCTTGTGTATGCATGCACACATGTGTAGTATGTGCATGCCTATGGAAGCATGCAGAAGTCTGATTCACCATGCACCAAACTTGCATACTGAAGCAACTTCATGGCTCATATGAGGGCTATATAGGAATGGAATTAGAATACACAACACAAATATTAACAAAAATACAAAATATTATCAGTAATAAGACAGTTGTATTCATTTACAGCATTAAAAAGGCAATATGCTACATAATGTTCAGAGCTCAAAATTAGATTTTGTGGAGAAACATTTCTTTCAAATCCTATATCAAGAATCAGTCACAAATCCCACAACTCTGTATGTAAGACCACAAAATTAACTGTCACAGGCATATAACAAATACTAAAATGAAGACACACATGACCTTACCATTAACCAATTAAAAAAAAAAAAACATTGAAAATACACTCCTTACAGAAGTTTCACCACCACAAATACCAGCACCAGCATCCATACATCTAGCAATGTCTATCATATTATGAACCGTTTTAGTAGAATTTTCTTTCTTAAACTTACTGGCAATTGCATCGTAGCCTTTTAACAACAAATATGGCCAAAGAGAAGCTGGAGGTGTCATTTCAATTTGATTAAACATGTTTGAGGATACACTATTTTCTTATAATAAGGGTTTCAACATATTCATAACATAACATGATACATATCTTACAGAAATTTTGAAATTTCTTGTGAGATTTGAGGTTCTCATAGTGGTGAGTATTAAGATTATGGTCTTCAGAGGTGTTATGCCATGTAGTTTGATAGATCAGTATCAACGTTTCCTGGACCACTGGTACATAACTATTTAACTATCAATCATCACATTCCACAAAATGTTATGCTTATGCAGGGTCCCTATTTAATATTACACAAAAAGTTTATTTTTAATGCAAGGGCCACTCCACAAGGATCAACAATGGGGAAATTAAAATTGAAAATAAATGCCTTCATAATCATGAGAAGTTTAAATAGGTAACAAGTGAATCAATGACCACCCTCTGTATTTAGAGGAGCTTCATGTATGGAGCACATGGAGAGAATGAGAGATGGACTCCTATAATTCTATCACTGCTTCTCAACCAACTTAATATGTAATAACATGACAACTGTAACAGAGAATATATGATGTAGGATAACAACATATTTCTGTGGCCAAACTGACTTGATTATTAATAAAAAACTGAAACTGAAGAGATGTACTGTCAACTAACAAGATTAGCAGAACCACATGCAAAGTCTGATACTTTTGTATAACTAAGAATTTTATACACATGATGCGATCAGCATGGCCCTTTACTTGCTCCTGACCCTTCAGGTATAATTATTCATGTTGGCAAGTTGTCTGGTCCTGTTATGCAAAGACGTTGCTAGATGTAATCTGCTTAACATTGAGATTACACATAACATTCCAGATGCAACATGTACTGACCACACCTCACCCTCCTGGATTACAAACAAATGATTCCCAACAACAGCATACAACATAAAGAAAACAGTATATTATAATGTGAAGCTCTGGAACTCTCAACCAGTTGAGATATCCAGAGATGATGTGTTACATTTATGTTGTGGAGGAAAAGAGAGGATTAACAGTTGCCAGCCCAACAACAGAACTTCAGTAACCAATGGCAAACATTTCATGGAATACAGTGAAGAAATAATATTATTTCAGGTACATACAGGAGACTGTAACATATATTCGGCATCACATAATTTCTTTCATACATTACAATCTACACACATACATTCCTGATGACTCATTCAGTTTTTGAGAGGAACATATATTTCATGCTTAAAGAACAAATGGAGTGTAAAACTGATGTTATCTGGCAATTTGGGGGTACCATTTCAATTTGATTTCACAACTGCAATTGACTGTGTTTGAATTTTCAACATTTGGATGAAGGAGAGACTGTCACTGAAGATGCTTCTTTATTTAGTGGCCATAAAATAAATTTAATGCCAAAAGTATGGATGGGGAGTTTCT